AGGAGAATGGAGAGGTGCCACAGGGGAGCCTGAGAAAACAAGGAATCTGCTGGAGGGAAGTTTCAGTGGAAAAAGATGGAAAGTAGACAAGAAGGGGAGGAAAAAGGGAATGAGGATGGACAGGGAAAGGATGCATGGATAAGCAAAGGGTGGAATGAAGGTATATCCAGAGCTGAAGGCAATAAAGCAAAACAGGTATAATTCTGTCTAAACAGCAGAAGGAAACATCAGCTGTGGGAGGGAGTCCCTCAGGGCCATGATGTCCCTAAATGTTCTCACTGTGTCTGGTGGTCCTGGGTGGTACAGAAATGCCCTTAGTCCTCAGCAGTACTGTTGTTTTCCCAAGTCTTCATTCCTCAGAGCACAAAATACAGTTCTGCAGGGGAGCAGAAAATCTGCAAGACAGATCAGCAGCCAGCTCAGGCCTCCATCCCACCTTTGCAGAAGCCACAGATTAGGAAAAGAAAGGCTCATCTCCAGTTTAGTCAGTGCAGCACTTCCAAGTTGTTTGGCTGTTCTACTGCCAGTGGGAAAAGCCCAGGTGGGGTCCTGCCAGGTGTTCTCTACAGGCACAGCAAGTGGAGAAAAGCAGCAGGAATTTGCACTGTGACACTGGTGACCCTTATGACCCCGTTCTGTGCAGGGCTGTGAGCTGACACAAAACTTTGTCACTCTCAGGTGGGTGCAGAAGTGGATGAGAACCTGTAGGTGAAGGCTATGAAGGTATTGCTGCCACACCAGGGCAGCTTTTCAGCCAAACCTTGATGTTCTCTTTGTCCTTTTCATAACCACCTTGGGTATGAGAACAGGGAATGTGGTTACAAAATACCTGTTTGGGATGGTCTTGCTTGGAACAACAAAATCTGAATTTAAAAGGGCATTGATAATGGGGAAAAATGCTGTAAAATTAGCCTGATGATTAAGTGCAAACCACAAAACTTAGAGAGGAGAAATACAAAAATAGGATTTCTCAGCTGGGCAGCAGCATCAGGAGGGACTGGGGGCGTGGAGGGGACAAAAGTCTAAGGACAATATCAGGTGTCCTTTTCTGGCTGCAGTTCCACCAGCAAGAAAAGCTGCTCTCCATAACCCTGTTGCTCATCATCTCCTCCCACCTCAGGTTTCAGCTTCTTCATATCTGCTTATACCTCAGCCTTACCTGGCTCTGTTAAACTGGCGATCAGAAAAGCCCTGTTATTTGAATTATTGCCTCTAACCTGGCTCGTTTACCCAGATTGTGTTTGGGAGGGATCCTCTGGCAGTTATGCAGTTGACCTGGGAGGGGGAGAGCCTGCAGCTGAGGGGTGGTGATAAGCAGCTGGAGTGGGTGAAAAGAAATAAACTTTTCACCCAGCTCAGCTGCAGGCAGAACAGGATGTGTGACTGCAACCTAAGACATAGGAGATAATTATTCTACTCCACTTGGCACCGGTAAGGCCTCAGCTGGAATAGAGTGTCCAGTTTTGGGTACTGCGCTGCAAGAAAAATGTACACAAACTGGAGAGAGTCCAGGAGAGAGACAGGAGAAATATCAGAGGCGTAGAAGGAACAACCTAGGAGGAAATGTTGAAAGGATTGTTTGTTTAGTCTGGGAACAGCGGACTCTAAAGAAGAGCTGTGATAAAAATCTTGCAATATGCTAAAGTTTATTGTAAGGAGGATGGTGATAAATCTTTCCCCGTGCTCACTGGGGGATAGGGAAAGAAGGAACCAGCTTCATTTACAGCTAATAAAATTTAGGTTTGACATTAGGAAAAACTTTCTAGATAAGAGGGTGATGTAGTAAAGCCAGCCAGGGAGTGCATGGGTCTTGTTAAAATTCACAAGGGTGTTTTATTTTAATAATGAGCATCGAAAGGATAAAGATGTTTCTTGTTTAAATAACTCTTCTGGGCTAACGCCTGGGACTGGGTTTCCACACGTCGACAGTACAACCATGTGGATGCACTTGCAAGAAATAGCTCTTGGCTTGCAAGCTCCAGGGCAGACACTCTTTTTCATGATCAGCGTGTACAAAACCCAGCAGCTTGTGACTGATCTCTTGTTGAGGGATTTCTACATATTGCTGCAATGCAAACAAGCCATCATGGAACACAAGGATTTGTATAAAATTTTACAAATACAGGAATAACCTTTCTCTTATGATTTCATTTCTGGCTCCACTGTATTTTTTTTCCTTGCAGGTTCATATCCTATATCTCTAATCCCTTCTTTGTAGATTTGCTGTGTGTGCACAGCCAGAGATATATCCCCGATTGCTGTTAATCCTTTGAGTGTTTCTACATTATACAGCATATGTCCAGGGAAAGTTCTGTCGTGAGGTTTAATGGTACTCACTGATCCTCCAGCGACACTCCTGGAAACAGAAAATCACACCATTGTGTTTCCATCCCAGGGAGTTCTCAGGCTGTGAATTGGGGTTTTTTTTCCACAGCAGAGAAGCAAAGAACCTCCGAATATTTTCAGAGGTTCAATCTAATGTGTTTGCAAACTTAGATATAAAATGGAACGTTGGCTTAGAGGCTGGATGTGGAGGGATGAAGATGGCACTCAAAGGTCCCACACTGTGTCTTTGGACTTGCCTATGACTTTGCAGAGGTCAAAATCTATGGCTGGAGCTGGTCAAAATTTTTTCTTGAGGCTTATGGTAGAATGTGGGGTTTTCTCTTGAAATAAACTCCACCAAGGAATAAATATATTTGCTACTGTGAGGGTGGTGAGGCACCACAACAGGTTGCTCAGAGAAGTCATGGATGCCCCATCCCTGAAAATGTTCAAGGCTAGGTTGGATGGGGCTTGGAGCAACCTGGTCTAGTGGCAGATGTCTCTGCCCATGGCAGGGGGTTAGACTAGAGGATCTTTAAAGTTTCTCTCAATCCAAACCATTCTATGATTCTATAAGACTAGTCTTAAGTGGTTTGGATTTGAAGTGTAACTTCAGGTATGAGGACTTTGGATTTTCTGCTGCAGGGTTTTAGTTTAGTTGCAAAATCTGTTAGAGGTGTTTCACTTTAAATTCCCGATATATGTGCTTCACCTTCATTCCACCTTGAGGTAATTTATCTGTAAATGAACAGTAATCAAGAAACCTGAAGTCATGTGGGATGCTTCTAATATTTTGAAGATAAGTAATATTAAGCCTAAATCACATTCAAAGAGTATATTAATTAGAATAGTAGAGCAGGACAAATCAGTAAAACAGAGCATACAGTTAAACAGGGTTATAGTTGCTTTGCTTTCTGCAAAAGCACAAAGCACCCATGGGGTATTAATTACCATATTAATTAATATTTTTTTACAGTTCTTTCCAGAACATTGGTGTCTACAGCATCTGTTGTGAAGAAGCAAGAAGTCTTGTCTATGAAAATAAACTGGGAAAGGAAACCATATGTTGGGAACCTCCTGTTAGTACCCCCCCCCCCCTCCTGCTGGGGGCTAACTGGGTCACGGGAGAACTCCTGGAGATGGTTGGAGCCCACAGTTCCAGAGTGAGCCTTCCAACCCCTAACTCTTGGCAGTTCTGCAGGGGATTAGGATAACTGCATGCTCCCAAGTCTTCCTGTTAGAGCAGCGGCAACATGAAAGGTTTACTGGGACAGAAAGAGAAGACAGGGACAGGTTGGAGGGAGGAGAGGGAGAACTCATCAGCCATGATGTAGATACTGAACAACTGGACTTCAAAGACTGCATTAGTCACCCCAGGCTCCATGTACAGTCAGTGGAGAGGAAAAGGAACTCAAGAGAGAGAGATTTGTCTCCTTTCAGGACAGGAAATGCCTGTTTCCCTGCTGCCTATAGGAGACATGTAGGTACTTGGATACTTAATACATGAAGTTAGCTGAGGTGACCTTGCATGGCCTGTTGGTTATGGCACTCTGCTGGGAGGAGGGATCCTGAGCTCTGGCCTCTGCTTCAGGGACTTCTGATGGAGTTTGTGCAGACTGCAGGTCATAGTGACACAGGGAATAGTGAAAGCAGTGTCCCTTCTTTCTCCTGCTGAGGAAAGTGTGTTATCCCAGGAGGTGAGTGCATTATCCCAGGGGCTGAGGCACCACTGGGGAAAGTAGGAGATGTGTATTTGAATGTTCCCTACAGGAGAAGGAATTTGCTCCAGGTACTCCTTCCTGGAGAGTGATTTGACCATTAAGCAACTGCCTCAAATTGGGAACCACCTCCTCTGCAGTCCCTGCTCTGTGTCTGAGGCAGCAGCGACTGCCACTACCTTCCAGAAGGAGGAAGACCCTGCCACCGAGGTCTTGCCATGACCCAGCAGCCCTGACAGACTGGTTGGTTCAGTGGGTTTAGGCTGAACAGCAATTTCAGAGGCCCATGGGACTTGGAAGTGAGCTGGGTGCCGAAATTTCCAGGCTTGTCAGGCCTGGGGCTCTACCCGGGGAGGAGCACAAAACGTCACAGTTACAAAGATTGGCTCTTCACTGTCCATATCTGACATCTGGGCAGAGCAAACCCGACATCTGTCCCACAAGGGTATCAAACCAAGCTCTTGCTGGCTTCCCCTGGGTTTCTGGCAGCCCTTTGGACAATCCATGGCAGATGACAGGGATGAGGCACCAGCTGAAGGGCTCTGGGTGACAGCTGCTCCAGGGCTCTGCTGTTTTTCCAGAGCCTTGCAGCACACCAGGGCAAAAGCCTTGCAGGCAGAAGGCTGTGCTGTGGGCCAGTGGGAGGGAGAGCAGGAGGAGGAACGACACAACACATTACAGCCAGGGAAGAGAAAAGGATTCTGCATCAAGGATTACATAACTTTTGACATGTCCTATATATCACAACCCAGTGCCAGGGAGCTGATGCTGTGCCCTGCCACGTTAGCAGGGCTTACTTTTGACAATCACTGTTAAATGACATTCCTGTCTTGTCAGAGCTTCTCCAGTTTCATGTCTACTTCGTCCCCGTGGGGCAGCTCCTTAGATCCCGTGTGCTGCGTGGCACCAGGCTGGAGCTGCACGTGGCACGTGTGTGTGCCTGGGCAAACCAGGGGAAGCTGCTCTTATCTCCCACTCCAGCTCCTTGCAGAAGGAGGGAGGACTGCAGACGAGCCCTTCACCCCACTGCAGACACAGCACCCATTAGGACCTGGTTTGCATTTAATTGCACCTCAGGAATAGGAATACTCATTTGGGAAGCAAAATCCTTTGGCACTGTAACCAGACCAAACCCATCCTTGCTGGCTTTATGGCTCCTGATAGCTTTTCCACATTTCACATGGGACTGAGCTCTCAAATGCATTTTACAAACTTGACCAACTCCCTCCAGTGTCCGCTGGGGTTTGTTTTCCCACTGATATTTTCCCTCATTCTAAATGAACTCCACACCTCGATTTTTTTTTCATTATTATTATTTTTTTTCAGCAGAGAAACGGGCAAGTGAAAATGCATCATGTGTAAGGTCTGGGAACAGCACAGAGGCAGCCAGGCAGCCATTGCAGGGGTTTGGCACCTCGCATGGGAATGAGCACTTGCAGGTAGAATGTTATTCCACTGCTCCTGCTGAGAGCTCGGCAATTTGCTCTCTGCTGAATCCTAAAGTCGAGAAAAAGCAGCTGGTTAAGGTGGAATTTGAAAATCAGTCATAAGATAAACAGGTTGCAACATTAAGCACTCTCCAAGGGAAAAGCAGTGCAGCATATGTTCTTACTTTGGAAGATATTTAAAAAAAAAAACAAAACACCAAAACTTTAATGGACTCTTTACTGGCTTATGCTAGTGGAGCTGTTAATTAATTAAATAACTATATGTGAATGGCATCCATTGGGAAAGAGCCTCACAGCTTCCAGATGCCAGTTATTGGCCCCATTATGGGCCTAAAACTATTACAGTAAATCATTACATGCTCCAAGATGAGCTGGCACATGACTGCTGTGAGGAAGGATGGAGCTATTCTCACTTGTGCCATTTTGTGCCAGTTTTTATCTAGTGAGATTAATTAGTACTTTTAGAAGTGCAAGTCAGAGCTATAAAATATTAAAGGATATTCCATCAATGGAGTGGAGACCTGCTTAAGCAGGGCTTTTAAAACTTTGGATGTTCATGGATAGATAGAAGTTGGAAGAGATAATGAGCAACATCTGATTTTTATTTTTTTTTTTTATTATTTCTTTAAAAAGGTCAGATTTATAGGTAGTGGGACTGCATGAAGTCTCCTTTGTGTGGTGTGGGAATACTCAGAGGAGGACATTAAACTTTATCACTGAAGTTCAGGTGCCAGGTAAGCAAACAGTTTCTCAAGCCAAACCCAATCATTTAAGGCACTTATTCCAAATAGAAAATCAACCAGAAAGTATTAAACAACCTTTTAGCCTGGATCCCCTGTTGGGAGGGGAATGTTTCCTGACATTGGATGGCAGCCTAGAATCTATGATCTGGCCTAGAAATGACTCTTTTTTTTTTTTTTTTTTTTTTAATTAATAAGCTATAAATTTTCACCCCAAATGACCACTATGGACCTCTCTGTCTTTTTAGGCTGCGAGAGGGAAAACCACTGAGTCACCTACATCATCGCTTGGCCAGACAGAGCGTCCTTTGAAAATCCTCTTGCCTGCTCGGTCTGTTCTGAGCCCAAAAGCCGAGTGCTGAAGAGGCACTCCAGGGACTGTTTATACAGTTTACCCAATAATTAGTTCTTAGAGGCATTAATTCATGGGCAGACACTTCCTCTGAGAAATTATTCCACAGCTGAAATTCCTCCCACAGCTGGATGAGGCAGGCTGAGCACACGGGCCTGGAGATTTTAGTCCATCCTCCGGAGCCTGGGAGGAGCAGTGCCCAGGGATCCCTGCCACTGTCCTCTTGCTCCAAGCCCTGGACTGGACCACTTGTGAACTCTCTTGCCTGAGCCTGAGTTCAGGTGGGGTTCAAGCAGGGCCAAAGGGGCCACGGGGCTACAGGGAGCCCAAGCAATGCCTTTGATGATGCTGATAACCAGCAATAGCCCTCCCACGTGGCCCCACTGGGACAGATCGAGAGATACCATCACTGATAGACCTCTGCCGCTCACCACAACAACCTGTTTGTCCAGAAGGACAGACAAGATCTCCCACGGCTCAGTGGGAAAGTGCCCTGGACTGCTCCAGCACAAAGAGCCTCTGCAAATGCCCCCGGGACACGTCCCAGGGTGGCAGAGGGGCTGCGAGGGAAATGCAGCTCTGCTGCTCGGCCACTCGCATCCAGGTCAGCCCAGCCCACCTGCTCAGAGGACAACATTCCTCCCCTACATCATGGTCCCACATTGTAACCAATGACTCTTTGTCATGGGGAGAAAAATCAAGTCTTTTTTGGTTGGGAGGAGTCACAAGAGAATGGGGATCTCGGGAAAACCAACCTCATCTCGCTGCTTCTCCTAAAGCGAAGGTAAGGCCGCAGTTGGAAGCTCCACTCACACGAATCCTACCAGGAAGTGGGACTTGCTGCATGAGAAGCGCATGAGTAAGGGTGTGCTGACTAACCCCCAGTTAAAGGGAATAAATTGATTTATAATATGAGCATGACAAATTGAGGCACCGGTCTTGCAAGTTGGGCTGTGTGAGCAGATCCCGGTGTCCACGTGGCTCTGGTAGGGGCCATTAAGGCTGAGACGTGGGAGCTGTAGTTGCCAAACCGGGAATATAGCTGGCTTGACAGTAAAAGGTTGGAAAGTTTGTGTTTATACGTTTCTGATTTGGGTGGGAGCCATGGGACCTACAGCACCTCAGCTGAAGCCCAAGGACAGACAGCTGCTTTGTCAGCAGGGCAGCCTTCCCCAGCGTGTGTGCTCCTAAGAAAGCACGGCCTTTACTGGTTTTAAACGAAAACAAACAGCTTTTAGGACCTTGGATCTGATGAGGGGAGTGTCATCATGTGTCCAACACAAACAAAAACTGGGCTGAGCCAAGACTAGCCCAGTGCTTGTCTCCCATTCCCTGGCTGTAAACACAAGAGACTGCTCTTGGCTTGTGTGAGAGTGGGAGGGAACACAATCACCAAGCAAAATACGTTGTTTCTACTTGATAGTTTAACGTTACATAGGCAACAGTTGTGCCTTTCTACTGAGCATACTCTTCTACTCTGTGGAGTCTTTGACTGGCCCGTCCTTGCAAAAAAGAAAAATAAGATAGGAAAAATGCAGCTACTTTTTTTTTCTGTGACACAGATTATTACATTTTGTTGGATTTTTTCCTGCGCAGAACATTAATACCAAATCTACCAGTGTGGCCTTAAGCCATCAACCCATGTGTTGGGTGGGAAGTGACCAGGGCATGAAGAGTACAGAGGGCTGGGGAGAGACGATGTTTAGATCATATATTTTGATCCAGAACAAGGTGGAAGTGAGTATCAGTCACCACAGGCTGGCAACAGGACACTCCTCTCTGTGCAGTGAGCCTGTGGGAACCACTACAGGCCTCTGAATCACAACGTGAGACAAAACCACTGCCAGCCTGACATCCTTCTCCAGCCATCACCACCTGGCTCTGCCTGTGCATGTGCTTTCTTAACCACTACAATAATTTTTTCACGCCCTATGTTCTGAGCTATTTGGGAAAGACATAGGAAAAAAGAAGATGGCCACATATAATGATCGTACAGTTCATGGTGGATTTCAAGTTTCCAGGTGGAGGAATAATGGAGCAGTGTTGGAAGTCTGGTTCAGTTATGTGTGTTCTGGCAGACACAGCTGGGGAAAACCTTTAGGTGTAGATGCAAAGTCCATTTTTGCTTTGTAAAGATGTATGCACACCCTTAACTTTAAAGGTATAAATTTTCCCCTTGACTTCCCTGGAACTATTCATGCATTAAACATATGCATGAGCCTTTCTAGAAATAGGGAATATAAATGAGGCTACCAAAATAGTTAACCAGAAATACTTTCTGTACAATGGAATAGAAAAATTTACAAGAGGTGTGCACATAGGAGCTCTTAGGAACAGATAAATGCAGGCCACTCAGATAAAGGACAAGGCATCGTTGCTTGTGTACCAGCGGGTGTTTCCAGCTACCTATAGAGCAGACTAGAGTGCAGTTTGCATTCGTTACATTAATTAAGCAATTTACTGGAATTTAGCATGTGGCAGGTTGGCAGGAGGCAAGTTTAACTTGGGTTGTGTGGCTGAGATCCTTTCATTGCGTTGACAGCCCCGAGTCCTGCCAACAGAGCAGCGCTCTCGGCAGTGCGTTCCTGTTGGTGGCTTCTGTGCTAAGTCCAACTTAAACAATTCCACTGGGGCCTGACAAAGGGAATGGATAAAAATGAACAAGGTCTGCATTACTTAAGCAGTCTTTTGTGGGCAAGATATCCAGAGCCTGGTCATAAGTAATGAGTTTTCATTCGAGGAGTAGCTTCTCTGGGTTAGTAAGAATTCTGTTAGTTATTAATCTCTAATTATCTTTTTTAATATTCACATGGGAAATGTTTCTATTTTTATTGTCTGTATCTGTTTCTTCACATTGTTTCAGGCCAGGTTTTTTTGACAGGTTTATTGTTTGGGTTATGCTGTAGTCATTAGGATTTAAATCTATAGGTTGTTCTGGAGTTACTATGGCCCATTTGGGAATGTCAGTTACACAAACTTCCAGCAAATAAGCAACATTGTGACTTGAGCTGGGGCTTGGAGATGAACATGAACCCAGCCTACAGCACTATCAAATCCATTTCTGGGGTGAAGGCCACTAGTTCTGGCAAAGATGCCCTGTATTCAAGCCTTTTAGACCAGTGTTTGCTAAACTATCTTAAAATAGACCTTTAAGCTTTGTTGTTTCGTGGCAGAAGTTTGGGCAAACTGCATTCTCACCTATATTCTGTGTTTCCCTTGATGCATTAAAAATGAGTACTTAAACAAGACCATCAACTGAAAATCTACAAAAAAGTAATTCCTTATTCAGGAGTACTTGAGGCCTTTGTTCAGTTGCACGGGATTGGGGGAGTTTGTTTCTTTGTATCAAGACTACACTCTGACCTCTCTTTTCTTCTGCATTCAAAACCTAATGTCACCCTGCCCAGGATTATCTGGATCTGCTTTTGAGTATCAAGACCAATGAACTGGTGAGAAGGAAAGCTGTGGGGAAACAAGGCAAATCCAAAATGAGATGAGGTTCCATTCTCTACTCCAGTCTCCACTTGTATTTATTCTGGTTTACAGCGGGCTTCTTTTGGCAAGGACAGATTCACTGCTTGAGCTTTGGCACAGCATTTCAGACAGGGAGGAGATCTGGGACAGGAGACCACAGAGTAAGAAAATGTACCTTGCATTCAGTTTTCATTGAACAAAAGGATTTCTCCATTCCCTTCGAATGTTCTCTTTCGTATCATGATGGCTTTGCAAGATGAAATACCTTCTGTCCTATCTGTGTGTTGCTGTCGTTCACAAGAGTCCTAGAGGCAGCTAAATGTATGGTTTAGTGTGTGGATGAATTAACATTTTAGTTTTAGTACATCCTACCCCATAATTATACTGAATTGGTTTTGGAGAGACTGAAAGCCTATCTGCTCCCCCAAAATAATGGGTTTGGCTTCAAATAAACGACAGGACAACAGTGACACTGAAATCCTCCAGAGCAGAGAGTAGCCAGGAGCAATTCTAAGTACTGGGAATTCAACAGGTTTTGATATTTGATGATTTCTTATCCTAACAGAAAGCATTTTCTTTTGTGTCCCCTTTATTTTCCTAGAAGCTAGACTTTGCTCTCAGAGAAAAGAGGTCGTAGGATCAAAAGATCTAGAAAATCAGCCTTGTTGTTCTGTGTCTGCATTTTTTCCATCTTCAGGCTCTAACTCAGCCCTGCTGTTTATGTAAAAGTGCAAATTCAGAAGGAATAGTTCAAAGTTTGACTTTTGGCTTTCAGAGGCTGCAGAATTCTGTTCTCTTTATATCCAGTGTGTTCATTTAAATATCTGTCTGCAGCCTCACCTGCAGTGTGTTCCAGTACTCCCTCCTGCTTCTCCCATTGTCTGTGATATCCTTGATCAATCCATGAGGGAAACAGCACTGTTGTGTTATGTGCAGCTCAAACTGGAGTACAGCTTCAGTCCAGAAAACAAACCCAGAGATTGTCCCTTCCTTGCCTTTGGCCTCTCAGATCTCCTGTGAGTAGGATACCACACACATTCTATGACTTACCAGAAGAGGAAGTATTGGGAAATTTTGTTTCCTAGAAGAGATAATAGAAGTGGCAATAAAACCCAAACCAACAGAGAAAGAAAAGCCTCTTTTGAAATCTTGACACTCTGTTATGCTGCTCTTACTCGTTAATATTTGGTTCATGGCCAGCACTGCCATGAGGGTTGGGTGAAGTGTCACCGAGACTGGTGGATGCAACCTCTGTCCTTCATTCTCAGCAGCAAAACCACTTGAGCTTCTTTACAAAACAGAAGTTGTTTTAACACAAAACACAGGCATGAGATCCCAGCAGAGCAGAGCCACGAGCAGAGCTACAAGATTGGATCAGTATGAGAGAAAGGGATTTCCTTGGTGGTTTCTGTGCTCTGTGACAGAGGTCAGGAGTCACTGCCACCACATTTAAGCACTGTGCTCTGGAGTGTGGCAGAGCCTGCTCTGCCCATGCCAGGAGGAATGCCAGCAGCAGCGCCTTGATCCAGGAGCTGAGCTGGACCTCCCAGCAGGTGCCTCCAGGTGAAAATCTCCTTTGGACTGTGCTGTGGTGGTCAGTCACTGGGGTGATTTACTGACACCAGTGTGAGCTGCTCTGCAACCAGCAAAAACCTGAGCATGTCAGAAATTCCCATTTCCACCACAGAGAAAGCTGATTTGCTACTGTAGCCCAGTGAAAATCAGGCACATTATGATTTCTCTTCTGAGTCCAGGGGCGTCTCACTGACTCCTCTGCCATGGTGGGAGATGGAACCTTTCCTGAGCATTTAGCAGCCAGTAGAGCCTCTGGGAGGCCGAGCAATGGATTATGGGCACCCTCTGGCAGGCACCAGGCAGCTGAGACCTGCCTGCCTCCAGCTAGCACTGACTGCTCCTTGTTCTAACCACACCTGCGGGAGCGAAGGAGGGAGTTCAGCCAGTTGTTAGGATGCTTATGGAATCCCACAGGACATTTCCACAAAATTGACAACTGTACTAGCAAGTACTTTTTTGTGTCTGCTCGAGGGACTGGGATGTTTAAGTTATTATCTGCAACAAGGACTTCAGGCTTAATATGCTCAGAGTGCTTGTGGAGGCCATATAATCAATGGGAAGGGTCACGTAGTGTCAGCCAGCAAGATTTGTTGTGAACAGGATTGCAGAATAATCATATTTGGAATGCCTCCACGGATTTTAAAGATGGTGAGCCCTTTCCTTTAACTGCACAGGCTATTCAAATTCCTGGCTCCACTGGCTTCTGTAACTTCATTGACTATGCAACTGGTCTATAGTATTTGCTTAGGGGATTCATAAATTTTATTAAAAGCATCATTTTTTTTCTGATGGGTGAAAATACAAGCACCTGTATAATTTCACAAAATGTGATTTTATTGTCAGAAAAGTGCCATTGATGCATATGGTAATCAAAGTGCAAGCAGTGGCAGGAGTATCACTGCAGAGCCACTAAATTAAGGCATTAAAATAACAGATGAGGGAAAGTTCAGCCATGACCTTGTAAGTGAATGCTTCTCATCATGGGCAAGGCTCCTCAACAGCCTGGGGGATGGAGTTGCCTCCCACCACCTTCCCACTTCCCAGAAGGGGATGAATGGTGCTCCATCTCAGCTGGAAGGAGCTGTGACAGAAGTGGCAATATGTGCTGTTCCACCAGGACGGGCTCAGAAGAGTTCAGAGGAGCAGAACAGCAGCTCTAGTGCTGTCTCCTCTCCGGCCTGGTTTTCTTCTTCACTGTGGCCATGGGCTGCTCCTTCAACCTCCAGACCCTTTTATAGTCTGTTGTTTCCAGCTAGGCCATTCCTCGCCACTAAGGGCATTTTTTTACAGGCTCTGGAGAGAAATGGAGCCTTTTGCCTGCCAACTTTTGATGACCATATGGCTTTCCTGTTTCCCATGTTTCAGCAAAGCCTTGAGGAGTTTCCTAAACAGCTTCCCCTCTTCTCTACCCCTTCGCCTCTCACTTCCCTCCTCACTCTGGGCAGCAGTTAACACCCAGCTGCTGGATGGTTTGGCTGCGTGAATTGACAGCCCTGCTGGATGATAAATTAACAAGCCCTTATTCATTATTCAGCTTTGCGACAGTTTTTATAAAATACTCCTCAGTTTTATACCCCAGAGCCTTTTCCCATTTGTGCTCTACCTTGGAGACTCTTTCCCATTCTGAACATGGAGTACAAGAAACCTCCATCACTCCAGGGGTGGTCTCAGGTGACCAAGACCAGCCGGGCTGTTTCTCCACTGCCCTGCATTTCACATCCAGCAGGGCTGTACATGGTCAGCCTTCAGAATGGAACCCGCTGAAGTCCAGTTAGGAAATGGCATCATATGTGCACTGCTACAGCCTGAATGTTCATTGGAGGGCACGACCCTGCCCATGAACCAAAGGTATCCTGCTTTTTGAGGAAGGCCAAGGCAAGCCCAGGAAGTGACACACCGCTGGAGTTTACCAGACTAACACCTCCCACTGTTGTGCAGCTGGAGTGGCACAGCTGCCACTGTGCAAAGCAACAAGAAGGTTCTCCTGACCTTAGTATGTTGGGGACAGGCCAGAGTAATTTATGTACCTAAAAATCCCATTTTATATCCCCTGGGAAGATGGTTGAGCATTTTTTTTTTTTTTTTTTTTTTTTTGTTTTGTTTTGGGGTTTTTTTTGTTCTGCTAATGTTGTTTACAGCAAGTTGTGGGTCTGTGGGACTAATCTTACCTGTGCCTTGTGAACTATGGTGTGCCATGTGGCGTCTTGTTTACTTACTCCTAAAGTTGATCAGAAAAACACCCTGGTAATGTTTTGCAAGAGTTGATAAAACTGCCTAAGATTTTACTGGGAGCCCATGGAGAAGTCGGGATGGAGACAGAACGGTCACTGATGGAGTTTGGGCAGAGGCTTTGAGATGCACTTCAGAGACAGCACTGCCACTGTAGCATTGTCTTCTGTCTGAGCAGTATGAGACTGTGCAGATAATTTCAGTCAAAAACCCTATTTACCCCTTCAAGGGAGATGGAGTCTGTTCCTTGACCTTTGCCAAGCCACCTTCAAGACCTTGACATCTCTCTGCCACTGCAGGAACCTCATGGCCTTGCCGGGCCTCTTTTTGTAGGAATGACCTAAAATCTTCTCCTTCCTATGCTCAAACCCCAAGATTTCTCCTCTTTCCTATCTCCCCCCCAGGGCTAGGAGGTCTTTAGCACAGGCCCAGTGAGATGTATGAGAAAGAAGCCTGGCAAATGGTTTAAATTAACAGCTATAGTGGTTGTGCCAACTCCTGCAGCAGGAGAGTGCCAAGATCCAGAATGTGGCTGCTCACCAGCATTTGGCAAGGCAGTGACATCTTGTCACCGCTATCCCTGAGCACTGAGGCCCACACAGGTACACCGACCAGTTGGCTGGGGCAGGATGCAAGGCAGGGTGGGAAAGGAGAGGGAAGACTGCCAAACTTCTCCCAGGGAAAGTCACAGCCATGATTCTTCAAAATCATCTGCTCCAATGTGACGTTACTCCTGACTGCAAACAGAATCGAGTCTCCAAAGCTGTTTACCAGTTACACTGATGTGGGTTCAATCTTCCCTACCTGGGTAGCCAAGTTTGCACTGGTAAATAAAGAGTGAGTACATAAACTTAGCAAAGGAGAAAACCATCCACTTTCAGTAAAGCTTGATCCTGCCACAGAAGACTGTGAGAGAGCTTTGGACCTAAGTGCTGACTGTTGGGAAGGTGCCTAAAGCTAGAGAGAAAAAAATCCCCAACATATAAAAAGGAAGTCTGTTTTTACATTTAATTCCTCCTGGGTCCAGAGAAGCAGGGGTTTATATTTTCATTATAAATAAGCTAGAAAGCATCTACATAGTGAAATCCATATTCCCAGTTGGGAAGAACCTGCAGGTCAACTATGGTCAACTTTCCCTTTGAAAGCACTACCATTACAAGTTAGCGAACAGTTCATGAGTCCTTTTGTTGTAGCCACATTACTCACAGCTCAGTGCCACTCTGCTGCCTTCTTTCACCCACAGGGATGCCCAGACCTTTGACTTCAGAGACTGCTGCAGGGCATCAGAGTTCTCCAGCCAGAAGATCATGAAGATACTTCGTACTGATGCTCCTTTCCCTGTCTGAAAATTTTTTCCACTGCCAAAGTCTTCCAAAACATTCCCTTTGAATGTTTCCCCTTTTCTAGGAAACACACAAGTCCTGTGCTACTGTGTAGTTGCTGGAAACATCACAACTGTCTGCAGCTTTTACACAGGTGAGAATTCACTGCAATTTCCTACACGAGTTGAAGTTTGGTGCTGTGGCACAGCTTTCTCCTGAGGTGGATGTTAAGTTTGGCAAAAGGCTGGCTGATTGCAAAGGGATGTTGCCCATTGACCCAGTATGGTAATTGCATATCAAAAATACATTTGAATAAAGAGGTTCAAGAGACATTTTATTAGAGCAGCCACAGAAAAGTTAAAAGTCATGTTCCTCTGCAGGACACAGTCCAAGCCTTCTATACAGCAGCCATCAAAGTGGTATTTTTTCTGCCTTTGCCCATAACTCTCCAGCAAAAATAAAACTGCAGGTATGTTTCCACAGGAGAACCTTTATCTTCTGCCATTTCCAAACTAAGTGGCTGGAATCAGTTATGTAAGAAAAAGGAAATTTGAATTTTATTTTGCAAGTACAAACTTAAACCAAGTGAACTGTTATTTGTATTTTATTTGCTCTATAAAAGCCTAGGCGTACAAAGAACTTTTTACTGGATATAAAACCCCACATTTTCTTTTCAGGTGTCCATAGAAACACTAGTTTAGCTGAAAATAAATATAAAACCTGCAAAATACCTTAATTTAGTTTTGCTAAGAATTATAAGAAGGATGGGGGTGAAGGGTGGACTAGTTCCTCTTCATTTCAAGCTTGTTGCTTTAATTCCATGTTGCATATGAAGCAACAAACAAAAACTCTATGGAATGTAAAAAGTTCCTATGCCTACAAAAGCCTTAACAATACCACACTGAGCTGAAGAACAACGGCACTGACATGAAAGGATTTTCATTTCTAAGAAATACCTGGCTGCATTGGAGTTTAGGAATACATGCATTCCATCCCCTTCTGCAGGGCTGATTTCCAGCAGCACAGACCTACTAACCCAAAATGAGCTTCCTCCCTGGGAGTCTGAGCTGCAGCAGCACAGGGCACTCCAGGTGAGACAGTGGGATGGAGACGGGGTGGTAACTTGGGTCTGGGTGAAAGAGGAGAATCTGCATTTAACAGCACAGACTAAGTATTATGCCACGTTTAAAATACCGTTCCCAGCTCACAGTGACAAACTGCATTCTCCGCTAACCACAATTTTTGTACAAAATTTTGAGAAAATTCTCCATTTAGAAAATGGTAAACTCCCTTTTTCATACTCGCAGTGCATTAAGGTACAAACAAAATTGCTGCTTCCCAGGTTCTTTATCACTGCATCTTTCTTAGACTTGTATCCTAAAGGTTCATCTTTCTTAGACTTGTATCCTAAAGGTTCATCTTTCTTAGACTTGTATCCTAAAGGTTCATTTTTCCAAATGGCATAATTTTGGCAGAGGTTGAGGTCAGCGCACTCCCAGATTGCATACTGCCTATCCCTCCTGTAGTATTACAGGGATATGTAGATGTTCAGCACCTTGAAATCCAGGCTTGTTATTCAGCTAAAACAAATGTGCAGAGCATGAACATTACAATTATCAGAAAATTAAAAAAATCTGTCTGCATTCAAAGCAAAAATAAAACCGGGAAATTTCGAAATTTCCTGAGGTGCTCTTTTTGATCAACTGGAACTTTGGCTTCCATTCAATTTAGGCATTTCTTCTGTAGTACAATGCAAAATACAAACTACATTGTGAATAATATAAAAGCATTTTTTCCAGACGGGAATGCCGGAACATATCTATTGGGTTTTTTTCTCAAGCATATTTTTTAGCAAGTATGATTTTCTGAAGCAGTTAATAATCAGTGGAGCTGTATTCTCCAATAGAAAGAGGGCTGCTTTTTTCCTAGTAGAAATTACATATTCCTATAATTTTCATATTTTAGAGTTCTGTAGTTCTACTTGAACCTTCCTGTTCTCTTTTAGAAAAAATTCAAGAAAGCCCTTTATAATAATTCCTCGTGGAAGTGCCTACTCATGGTAGACCATCTAACTCAGGTCCAGTCTAGGCTAAATTGTTGCTGTATATTTTTTCATGTATTTGTGTACTTATGCAAGTCTGAATTAAAATACATGTTTTGATGGAAGAGAAAGCACACATGAAACCACAATCTAAAAACTCATCAGCTCTGTGGAGATGTTGAAAAGGCAAAGTTCACTCGTGTCACAGTAAAGGAACAGACGGTGTGAAGAAGTGATCAGATGGAAGGTATGAAATGAAGGGGGGGAAAAAGGAAGTTTTCCTACAGAAAGAATAATTAAACTGAACTGATTGTGAACAGACACAGTGGAACCCAAGAGGGTAAATGAACTATACACAGCTGGGAATCCAGGCATACATTCAGCTTGAAAAAGCTGCCTCAGAAGTCGGGAAATTCAAAAGTAGGTGTCTCACAACAGAGTTTTTTAGGCACCTTCCCCAAAAAGATGGATACTCAAAAGAGCTAGATACTTCTTAACATGCATTTTTGTTAATAATCTGCTCAATCTAAACTATAAAACGTGCTGTGCAACATGACTGAACGAATATCGCTGTGAGAAATATTTCCCCCATGTTTGAGTAATTTGAATTTGTAAGCTAATGTAAGTTTTTGTATTAAATAGTGTTCTGTGTGCAATTTTCTTTCTTGTAAAGCACTTTGAAGCTTTCAAAGGGCACTCTAGGTTCATAAATAATATGGTATTCTTTGCCAGAACTGTAGGGCATTTCCCATAAATTCCGAATCTTCTTTGCCAGAATTGCAACATGTTGCATGCCAAATCCTGCACACAAATGTTCTACATGTGGCAAATACATATTGGTAAAGACCAGAGGCATGGCATTCCTGGATTTCTTAGAGAGAGTGGGGGCAGGGAAAGAAGTGGGAAGGAATAACAAGGGAGGGAAGAGAGAAAAAAATGTCTGTACATCATTTAAAAAAAAACCCCAAACAACAAAAACACCACACCCCCACCCCAAACAACCCATAACCAGCACTTATTTATTTTCAAAAGCTAAACTATTTGCTGCACGTAGCACAAGCTCACAGGTACCCAGAACTGGGTCTTTAGTTTACCTTCAGTTATGGAAATCAGGCCTCTTTTTCTGAGATGGGTGTAGATTTTTCAAACCCAGATGTTTGTAAAGGTCAGAACACCTGCAATCCCCGCTCCTCCCAGAACGTGCCAATGGAAACAGAGCGGCTGCAAACCTGGAGCAGCAGAGTCAGGACTGCCACCGCTTCACAGGCTGTGACCATGAATCCCCTTCTTCAGGCAAAGAGGTGAATACATTTCTTATGCCCACGGCTACAGGGAATAAACCAAGGCCAATGTCTATAAAGTGAACTCTCGCCTCTCCGCAGCCTCCCCCGTGGACCAAACCACGCTCCTACTGCTGGAGCTTGGAAGAGAAGGGGTGTAAAGCAGCAAGACCCAGAAATTCAATCAGTGCATTTGGCCACATATCACACAGGTTAGATTACTGAAGGGTACTCGGAGTTTAATGTGTCTTTGGTTAAGCATAAACAAAAGTGTCACTAAATTTTAAGCAAATGGTTACAAAAATTCTTCATCACTCAGCAACAACCAGCTAGTTTTAAAGGTACCAGAAACTACTTAGACCTAATCAGGCGTTAAGCACCAAGAGTTGCTAAAGGTTTACAAACTGAAGTTAAAACTGAACTCCACATTCTGCAACACTAAATGAACGTTTTACTACCTGGTTTCTTTTGAGGTGGCAAGAAATGACTGTAAAACCATTGCTGTTGCCAGAACTACATTGCTTAGAGAAAAATATCCTGTGGGTTACCATTTGTTGCCACAATTTACAAAGATACGGTCTATAGTCTGTATCAGTTTCATGTGGAAGTTTCAAAGGGAAAAAGCCTTCTGCAGAGTTTGCAGATTTCTGCATAAGTGTCTGTGTTGTTGCAAAGAGGACCAAGTGGTGCTGTCTCACAAGCTTTTCAAGAAAGCTGGCACATTTCTTCAGATTCATCTCCTGCAAGGTAAGACTCTCCCCTCCGTTGCTTCTGTCTATCCAATAAAAAGCTGATATACTGTCTAAAAGCAGAACACAGAGGGAGGGGTGAGCGCAAAACAGGTTTTCTAAAGAGTAGAGAGTGAGCAGTAACTGAGTGCTGCTATTGCAGTTCACAAGGAAAAGCCTTCCCAGGCACTGCTTTATCATTTCCTCTGTCCTTTGTGCCAGCCTGTTCTCCAGAATGGTAACCAGGCGGAGCATGTCGAAGTGGTAGTCTGTGTCAATGAACATGACTTCCACTTCCAGCCCTCCTCCCGACTTTGGAATGATGCAGCGGGCTATGAGGTGATAGAGCATTTCCGTTTTTCCTGTTCCTTCTGCACCGTGGAATTCAATGACGTCTCCTGTTCAAAAACAAGGCAGCACGTTGTCAGGTAAGAGCACTTATAGCCCAGGGTCACTTTTCAGTGTTTACTGAACCAATACTCGCTATTCCACAAATTGGAACATGCATTTTGGAAAGCTTGATATGCATTAAAAATGTTTAAATCCTGGTTAGCATCTACAAAGAGACATTTCAATTTTCAAGAAAGGCCTCTAAAGTCGAAAAAATCAACTGGGAACAAAGGTTGAAAACCTCTGCCAGTAACACCTAGGACACCAGTATCAGTGAAAGGTTGGCAACTGGATTTCATTGGTATCATCACAGGTCGATGAAAGCAGAGGAGGAAGATGTTATACAGAAGTGGCTAAGAAACCATCTACATTATGCACACACAATCAAGGAATAAATTAAAAAGGACAAGCAAAACATAACAAAATTGATATATCAGAGGTCCAAATCATGTTGGCACATCTATTTTTACAGCACAGCCTGTCCTTCAGCATTTCATGTCTTCTATAAGCTTGTTCAGTACCTGCATGTGTCACAAGATACCTGCAGGAATCTGTGACTGGTGAAGAGAACACCGGTAGGTTTATTTAGCACTTATATTCTTCTGTGCTGATCATAATATGAAACTGCTTTTTTTGACAAAGGGGACTCAGATTCCTTCAACTCCAGACAACACCTCTGTCTGAAGCAAAGGATCTCCGTTCATAAAAGGATTCAGCCCAATTGCCTCATCCATGTGGGTCAGTAAAATACATATCACATAAGTTTAAAATGTTAATTAAAAACAGCATTCCACTTCATTAGGAAACCAGTTCTTTTGTTGGATGTGAATGCAAGCTATTTTTAAGTCTTATCCAAAGTCTCCTGATGTCTTGAGCCAGAATCTAAAAAACGTTAATTTATTAGTCGCGTTTTATAAATTCTTAATTTTGGGAACTGGATTATTTATTTATGACATTTTGGATTTTAGGCAGAAGGATAAATACGTGCAGTAAGGAGAGTCACACAACTGTAATTGCAGGAAGGTGAGAGATTTCCATGGCCTTGGCAAGTGCAAATGGCATAACAGCTTTTCATACGGAGATGTGAGAGTAGAGAATTAATTGCAACTTTCCTTAAACGTGTTTGTGCCTGCCTGAGTTAACAGGGTTTTTCAAGTCACTGCTCAACTTCCAGAGGATGTCCTTGTTCACAAGTGTGTATAATGTCAAGATGCAGCTCAGGATGAGGGGTAGAGGGTGGTGGGGAAGAAACCAAGCTCTTACTTCATCCTTTGCAAGCATTAAAAGCAATTTACACCTGATGTGACAAGTCTGCCCATTTCCGTGGCACTCACACTGCCCGCCTCTCCATAATGGGATTCCTGCTGCTCCACGACTGCAATTCCATTTCTATGAATTTCTGATACTTCAAAATTTATTAAAAAGCTTGACTGCCTCCCAAACATTTACTTAGCTGTTTCAAATGGCTCACCCACTTTTGAGATGAAAGACCACTACACTTGCTGAGACACAAATCTTCATTTTCTCTTCCTGTCCAGGGGTCAAATGTCCAACTCTGGCACTTGCAGCCAGTGGCTGCTCTGCTGTCACAGAGCCTGTGCCAGCGACCTAACCACGCCCTGGTAGGGTGAGACAGCAGCTTGGAAGAACTCCTCCTAAATGTCCTGGTAGGTCATTCCCTCATATTTCATCTATTGAAATATTTTAGAGCAATTGCAAAAGGCACCTCTTGTTTAGGTACAAAGTGTATCTTCTGTCTGCCACTGGCTTTGTGCCACCCTGACTGGCATTTCTGAATCCACACCAGTAAGTGAATGGGGCCAACATGCAATACAGGTGCCTCACCTGCCTTTACAGCAAAATATGACCTATTTGATTCAAAAAGTTATTCTGGGAAATAGAAGATCCATTTGAAGATGCTCTAACAGGATGTCTGTGTGCTACAGAATAACACTGGATGAGATTTTGTTATTGGCAGAACTACTAAACTTAAGTAAAAACTCTAAAAATTGAATGATAAAAATCAGTCTCAGAAGTTTTTGTGGTGGTGGTTTATAAATGTTGACAGCAAGACAGCCAAGCACCCCTCAAAGTTTGTTCAACATTGCTGAAAAAGATACACAGCTGCACTGTAGTTTGACCAAGACACTGGAGTCACTTTGAAAAGAGTAACAGCTTGGACTGCAAGAAAACCTCAAGAGGGCTGGGGATTTCTGTGCCTTCCTGATTATCCCAGAGGTTGCCCACAAGAAGAACGGGTGCCAAACAGAAGCCATTTATAGCAACATCTATAAATGTAGGGTTTCATTGAATTAGCAACCAGGCTGTTAGAGTAAGATAAGAGGGGAAATTCATTCCTCTGGATCAGAGAGGACAAACCATGACACAGCAGAGGAGGAAGTGAGGCCAGCAATGTTTTCAAGAAGCCTTTGACACCCTCACAATAGGTCACAGAAGAAACGGAGTGATCAATGCTAGCATGAGCCATTAATGTCAAAATAACTTTGAAAGGAGGATTAGTAAAAAGACACTGTCACAGGATGAGAACAGGCTGAGAGGGAGAGTAGGAACAGACACTTTAAACATGGAAGAAGGTTAATGGGAATTTTTTCTATTAGAACAGGTGTTGGCAGACGTTAAACATATCAGTAGATGAACGTTCCATTAGCTTGGCAAAACATGTAGAAGACAAACTAATTGGGTTAATAAAGACTTAAGTTTGCGAAGACTTAACAGATGGAGCTGGATAAGCAGAGTGATTTCATATGAAATTCATCAGTGATGAATTCAAGAAGTAGATTTTAAGGAGTCACCCAACACATTGCTTGGCTCATGGTAGCTTGAACTGGCCCATGATGGGCAGACTAAAGAGAACAACAGTCCACTGCTATGAACCAGCGTGCAGGGTAAGCTAAATGATGCTGCATAAATGTAAATATTTACACAACACTAATATATTTTTAAGTGAAACTTTGCGCTCAGTCCCGGTCATCAATTCAGTGTTATCTTTTGAATGAGAGGAGCCTTGTTTCTGTCTGTTTAGCCAGCAAATGCTGGCTAAACTGTTTTCTGACACCGCAGCTCCACACCGGCTGTTGGAATACTCAGCAATAACTCTGTGCATTTCACATCATCCGATACCTTGAAGTTACTGGGCTGGTGATTTACAACAGTGTGCAGAAGCTGTCGCTAATATTTATACCATTTATAAGTGAAGTAGAAGGGCCCAATATTTATTCCAAGTTAATGTTGGGTGTCATGCTATTGCTGAACATCAGAGCTTTACACTGACACCCACACCTTCATGCCACAGGCACAGGGGAAATATGACTGGCAATAGGGGAAGATTATTTAAAGCTTGTGTCACTTTTGCTCCATTCCAGAAGAGCTTAAATGGTATGTAATTAATGTGCTTATGTGTTCTTAAATATGCAAGTCCATCATAATTAGAAGCAGTAGCTATATTACCTGTCCCTATTTTATAGTACTCTGACGTGCACGTAAGGAACACTTAACTACAACGTAACATTTGGTAGTTTATTGAAATTTCATGTATGTGTTTGTTTTAAATACCATCAAGAAAAATAAAATTTAGGTCCTTGCATTACTTTAATCACAGCATTTTAGATTAAGAGCTGTTCAGTACAGACTTTGTGGGCAATCTATCACAGCATTCCACAGTGACCCACTAAAAGTCAACTTCATGACAAATGGAGAGGAAGGTCTTCAGCGGGGATTTAGGACTGAATAATGAGAACACACATCAAAACAACACATGGGCTCACATGAATACCGTGGTATTAAAAGACAAAGCAAAAACTTAATAGAAGGTGAAGTCAATTTTTGTATATACAGCTAAAGATCTGTGCTAATATGTTAGGCAGCTTCATTGATGTCAGCCAAAAAGCATGGCAAATTATGGGTAATAATTGATGCCATTTGTTCAGTGCAGAAGAAAAATACAAGTGCTTCAAAAGCTCAATAACTCTGTTGGCACAGAGAAACCAGTGATGAATTTTATAAGGTTTCCAGCCATCTTAGAACTGAGGTTCTGGAACAGTCTTTGGACAGACATGAACAACCTACTTAACTTTAAGAGCAAAGCAAATAATTTGACACGAAATTATGTAATGCTGTGGACTTCGGGCAATTACTAACCCTCAAGAAGGCTTCCTAAAGTCTGTTCAACCAGAACATGGCCAGTTTAGTCTCAAACATCTGTTTCTCATGTGTAAAGTTAACTAGAAAAAATCTCAGACTAAAATATCAGCATTTTCTATTAGTGTATTTTTTTAAAACATAAAGATCTCGTCTTTTAAAATAATTAAGAATTTGAGAGCCTTGTGAAACATATACCAATTTCCTTACTGTTTCTTAATTCTTCCTGTGGATAACAAAGAGCTTCAGAATTGAGAGTATTTAAATATTCTTCTGTGCTCCACTTGCACTGGCTTACCAGTACTTCTCTGCCCTTTATCCTTGTTATGTCACATTTGAAACTTTTGGGGCAGGAATCATATACTGCTAAACCCCATAGGTATTCTCAAGTGCAGCAAAACAACACAGGGATAGTCTCACAGTGACTGTGTTTGTAGACTAAGCATCATCTCTCCTCCAATTATGCTGATTCTTTTAATTGCTTTTTCTGCTATTTCTTCTGAACCTTCTACATTTACAGGAATTCAAATTGCAGACAAGTGTGCTGATAACCACTGCAGCCACACACTTGCCATATGAAATCCACTCACTCATACATTCATTCCACAACAGTAGTACCTCACCCACAAGATCCTTGCATTTTGCCATTCATGTGCCTTTTTTCCTACATATTTCTAATTTTGTGTTATCGGAGTTGTCTCTTCCATTAGGAAATTCAAGAAATTTAACACAATCTGGAAAACCAATCTGACTTCCTGAATAGTGTGTTAATTTCTATTTAGCTCATAAAAACATCCAATTTTGACCTTAAAACTTCTTCCTAGAAGAATCTCCCTTAAACTTGTAGTACTGGTGTCTTTGGGGGGTTGCTTGATTTCTCCAGTTTGAAATTCTCCATGAGCCATGTTGATCCCAAACATTGCCCGTGAACTCATTCAGCTGATTAGTGCCTATGTCCACAATGGAATTGTTTCAAAAGTTCCAGCTAAGTATAATTAGGATTTTTCAGGCCACAACTGAATGGCTTGATGACTTGGCTTTACTGAAAAGTACTGTTTGCTCATGCCCCTTATCCTAAATTTTCCAGACCACTCTATATCACTGAACTCTTTGTTATTTACTGAACCTCATGTTCTTTGCAAATTTCTGCAGTTCTGACTTTGTGGTGGTTGTTTAGACCACTGACTAAAAAAAACTAAGAGGTTTAATGACAGACTCTACAACAAAATGGTGTAAAACTACTAAAAACTGACCAATGTGCTTCGTACTTACTCACCTACACCTCTGTTTTGATATGCATGAAGCAGATTTTAAAGTCCACTTAATAATGTTTGGAATGGTGACTTTGCATCATTCCATTTTATCTAGTTTGCATAGAAATACATCAACAATTAAAATTTTGATCCAGGGTAAAATCATCTACTTGTAAGATTATGTCTGCCACATTGCTCTGAGAACACTTTTACACGGACATTTTTCCATAAATGGGATAAAGACACATTTTTACCATGAACAGGAGATCCTTCCTCAGCAAACAGATAAGGTTCCAGATTCTTCAGAGAGCTTCTGCCCTCGAGTCGCGCCAGCAGCTTTTAAAGACAAGACAGAGAGACACGCTGTTAACTCAAAATAATGGACCTAAGGAACAAATCTGACAGTTTTCCATGACAGCCCTATATCAAAAGATTAGCCTGATTTTAAAAATGTTTTCAAAAATACACATGGAAACATATAAGCTGGACTACAGGCGGTTCCATCCTCACAAACAATGAGCACACGGATTCAATGGCAATGAGGAGTGGATATATTAGGGGAAATAAAAGCTTAAAAAGAAAAGCTGCACAGGCAGATTAGCAAGAAGGACTGCCTCTGGTACACAGCAGTGCTGCCACTGGGAAGAACAAAGGGAAAGATGATCATTTGTAACAACCACCACCTTCACAAAAACCTACTGGTTGAGAGGTGAAACCTTACCCATCATCAGTCTCCTGAGTCAGTCCCTTTGAGCATTTTTAAGTAAAACCATGTGCATTTCACCTGAAAAGTTACACAGGACTCCTCTGGGCTACAATCCTATTATATCATAGTTACTTGTTCAAACAGAGTATGGATTAAGAATGATCAAAAGTAATTAGTCACCAGTGGCCCTGCAAGAACCTTTCTAAAGCAAGCTTGAATTTGTAAAGCATGTTCTCCAAAGCCCCTTGTAAACCAAGACCATTGTAAAACAAATTAGTTCAAAGTTCATGGACAGTTTCTTAAATGGAGAGGTATTTGCATAGCAAGTAGACAGGTATTCACATAACCTGTGTTATTAGTAATTCTGGCACACTGCATAAACCAAGAACTAAGATTTCCCCCAGTACCAGAGCTGTTATTCCCTACATGTATTCCCTATACATGAGAAAGGACATTATTGGGATACTCAGTGTCACCAGAGCACATACCCTGGTGCCAAATACTTCATTCTCCAACACACCCAGCTGTCATTTAACGATCTGAACAAAACAAATCCTGTTCAGCTTTATCCCATCCTCCTCAAGACCAAACCAGCAGTAAGCACACACCTTTAAACACCTGCTGCCTTCTCTTGCTTTCCTCTATGCCACATCCACAAGCAACACTTGCTCTGAATTGTCTTAACAGTTTTTTAAAGAGTTGTGTTTGCCTTTCATAGTAGAATAAAACTCCATTAAATGGCCCTGAATTTACTTCAAGTGGTCACGATGGGAATGTGTGACGTTATTTTCATTGACATTCTAAAGGTCCCTTCCATTAACAAAATGTCAGCATGTTTGCCTTGGCCCACTCACACCTCTCCAGGAGAGTTTTCTGACTCGTCCACTGAAGGGCCAGAAAAACACCTGAATTGACCTTGCTCTGGATCTGTGGATCCTCCCATTACATTTCACATATTTGTGCAGCACAGAAAACACTCACATGGTGAGCTCTGGAGTATTTTGGGAACCAGTAGGGTTCTGTGACCCAGACAAAGGAAAAATCCAAATGGACATATGTACACAAGAATACAGGAATGTATCTTGGGACACATAAACCAGATCTCAACTACCAGGAAAGACCCTATGTGTGCAGCTCTTCTGTGCAAGCAGCTGCCAGTGCCTGGCCCTGGCCCCTGGCTAGAAGGGCTGGGAATTCACCCCCTCATCCAGCAGTGAGAGTGGAGAGAAAGAGGAAAACCACCACAGGCTGCTGCTTGCTGATGCTCTTCGCTTCTTAGCAGAGGAAGCACCTCTCCAGCACTCTGGGATAACAAGGGGCTGGATCACGGGCACTGCTCAGTCCAGGAGTCACAACCATCGCTGGGCTAAACACGTTTCTGCAGCCTCCTGCTCCTAAATTTATTTCTACGTTAACAAATACATCCTCTGCAGTTTATTTCTTCTGAAACAATGAGCCCATGTCTCCTCTTAGACTGTCACCCCTTTAAGCTTACTGCCAGAGCTTTGGAAACACATGGTAGATTGATGGGCATCATTTAAATATGAATCTGCAGTTATTTAAATGACAAGTTTATATATTAATTTTAAATAACTACAGGTGCTTACTCTGAGCACTGCTCATGTAGGTAATTTATGGTAATTTGCTGATGATAGTGCACCTGTGTTTTTATCAAACTTGTATTTACTTCCGAGATCTGAAGCAGAATCTCCAAAGGCACTTGCCTCATTAATGTCGTGCTGGGAGCAATGGGGTTCCTGGCAGAAAGAGGAACAATTTTCCTTCAACTCTCACAAAGGTTTGTCCACACCAGAGCAGAAGTGTCAGAGGCGAAGCTGAGATGAGGCACCAGACAGGCAATCCCCTCACCTTTGCCCGCATTCCAGGCAGGGACAGCACGGGGCTTTCCAAATCGGCAAAAGCCACCCTGGCTCTGTTCCAGGGCAGCATTTCCATTCTGCCTCCCCACATATTCACGTGTAAAACGACGAGGAGGAGAAATCTACAGGATTTAAAGGTTAATCTGGAGGGTGAACATCAGGTGTCCCAGGCTTTGCCACAGACACTGTACAGCACACAGCACTGCAGAAGAGAGTTTTGAGTTGGAAGAGCTTGGGAGAAAAACCCCAAGACAATATCAATTACGTATTAGAGATTTCAGATTCCATAATCTAACTGTAGATGCTCATTTATTCTTTCATAAGCCTCTTTTCATCTTCTTTTACACAAAACACCACCTTTTAGCAACCTGCTAGTGGTAGGTCTTCACTCTTAGGTGTTCCTCAAATGTAATTATGCCAGGAAGAAACTGCACATCTGTGCAGTCACGTGTAGAAAACAAGTTATACAGAAGAGTCAGACAGCAGGTAGGTTAAATTTCATTAATGACAAGGCTGATGGGACTCAAATATTTCAACTATGCCTTTTATAATTTATCAAATTTTTAATAAACAAATACGCATATGGACAGTCCCACTGACTAATACATGATGTGCTTATACTTTATTGGTTTCAACAGAGCTATGCATAAATGGAAGAACACATGTAGGTCTTGTCAGGAATGAGAGATTACTTCATTAAAATGTTAAAGAAATTCAAATCAAATACTCCAGCTCTGTTAGAGGCTGTGAGCTAACCTACAGGCTGTTTACACATACAAACCTATCTTGAGTATGAGACAAAACTTAATTTTCAACCACTATAACCGCTCTGACTGAGCTTTTGTAAACTTTGGGCATGAAGACATATGCAAGCAATTTATCATTAATTTTACTGTGATACACCAAAGGTGTTTTGTGAGAAGTTCTAATTTGTTGTATTAATTATATTGAATAATAAGAGTACAAGACTGTTGTTCCAGGGTAACCTGATCTTATATGCAGGAGGCTATTTGAGGAAGTATTGTTTTAAATTAAGTGTTTTCTGTTTCAAGGGCTTTTACCATTTTTTTTCTGGACCATGTATTCATACATTAACCATTCTTAACCCATCGGTTATCAATTCCTCCCTCAGTCCAGGCTGGCTATCCATCCATCGCAGCCAGTTGATGCCATGTGCATTCCCTGCTGGCACCACTCCATGGACAAATAAATGCATTCACCCCCTTGGACACAGCACAACTCATGTCCTTTATTCATGTCCATTTGCTGATAGTGGGCATCTGATACTATTTTTTTTTTAAGTGTCAAAAGGGCTTAAGAGTCACTGAAAAAACATGGAGCTTTATCAAGAAATAAATATTACCACATATTTCTACGTTTCTATATGAACCATTCGATGTATTCTGATAGTTACACACAAATCTCCAAGCAATTAAGTTGATGATTGCAAGTGGAAGTTTCTAACAAATACGCCACTCAGCAGAGAAAAAAAAACCAAACCAAACCAAAAACAAAGGCAACAAACCCCCAAACTCAACCCCTTTTTCTCCTAAGAGCAGGAAAGCAATTCCACCTTCCGTACTCTTTACTTACAGAATCATAGAATCGTTAAAGCTAAAAGAGACCTTTAAGATCACCAACTCCAAACGTTTAAACCAAACCTTCCTCAAAGCCCTTCTTCCTTAGGCACCCACTTCAACTCTTGGGATGGGAGAGCGAAGGGAACATTTACAAAGAATTCCCGAGACACCCGCCCCGCCTGCCCCGGCGCCCACCCGCATCCCCACACACAGGCAGGGCAGGGACGCCCGGGACCCTGATCCCGCCTGGAGCCGCTGCCACCCACGGAAACCCTCCAGGGAGCCCTCCAGGCGGCCGAACCCTCCCCCCGCTCCTTCCCGCACACCCCGGCCCTTCGGGAGGCTCCGCGGGCGCTCTCCCAAGGGCGCTCTGGGGAGCGCCCGGCGCTTCCCCCTCCCCCGGCTGCGGCCTCGCCCGGCCCTCCCCGCCCGGGCCCCGCGGCTGAGGGGGGCCGGGGCGGGGGCGAGGGCAGCGCCTCACCTGCGTGCCCGACTCCGCCCTGCGGGGCGCGTCACCCATGGCGGGCCCAGGGGCCGCCGATCCCGATCCCGGTCCCGATCCCACCGCCCCGCAGCGCCCCCGCCCGGCCGCCCCGTCTGCGCCTGCGCGGCTCGGCCCCCCGGGAGCGCGGGGTGGAGCCCCCGGTCTGAGGAGTCGCGGGTTCGAGTCCCGCCTCGGGCTCCACTGGCGGCCATCCGCCCGCCCATCCTACGTGGCTTGAGATTCCTTGGCTACTGCAGGGAGAACCACAGAATCAATGTGTGAATAGACCTCTGATACCACCGAGGCCAACCTATGACTGAACAACACCATGTCAACTAGACCATGTGGCACTCAGTGCCACGTCCAGTCTGTCCTTAAACACCTCCAGGGATGGCGACCCCACCACCTCCCTGGGTAGCCCATTCCTATGTCTAATCACCCTTCTGTGAAGAAATTCCTCCTAATGTCCAACCTAAACCTCCCCTGGTGCAACTTAAGACCATGTCCTCTCGTCCTGTCACTGGCTGCCTGAGAGAAGAGGCTGACCTGCACATCAATGTGGCTGTTTATTTATTTTAAGGATCCATCTTTTTATAGGTTTTTGTGGGATTTTTTCCTGCTCCTGATGAAATGGGGCAGGTGGCTGGGTTGGTGTGACTCAGAGGATGCTCCTCTGTGACACTGGGGTAGCCATGACTCAAGGAAAGCTCATTCGCGTGGCCGCAATTAAACTCTTGACGCCTTGGAATCTTTGCCAAAGCCAGCTATCATTTATGGCTTAAATTAAAAGGGATGTTTTAAATATGTCCCTGTAATGAACTGGGCTTGTGTGGTGTGTGACACCCTGGGGCAGGAGCCGATGTCCAGCTAGTCCCTCATGTCAGCTCTGTGCTCACGGCCGGCAGCAGGACCTGCTCCCCCTGAGGACTACGACCTGTCTGCTGATGTTGTGCCACCTGGGGAGGCAAGAGGGATGGGCACGGGGCAAGAGGGATGGGAGAACCAGTTTGTGTTTTCCATAGGCTAAGTGCAAAACCAGCAGGATAAGAATAGCAGCTCCCAGTATCTGCATATCAAAGAGCTGTGAAGATATGATCTCTCTGGGTCTACAGAGGTTATCGGTGATACTGCACGTCCTTACAGTTACAAGGAGAAACTGGTGGTGGAGTTCTCTGTTCCTTTAAAGAAATCACGTTTCCCTACATGAAAGAGTTTCTATTGGCTTGGTCCCGAATGCACCACAATCAGAAAATCTAACCTCAGATGCAAGGTGTCATCTTTGTTTACTCTTTCAACCCTTTTTAAGCCCAAAATACACAGCTCCAATTGAGAACACCCTTTTGTCGCCATCTGACTAATTCAGGTTTCAGATGAATGCTTCCAGCCAGATTTAACCCAAGTCAAAGCCCTACTTTAGAAGTCCAGTCCTAATTCTGCTCATTACAGTACAGAAGGGAGATGGTCTCTCCGCACAGCTGTAGTAGCCTTTCTTCTTTTCTGTGTATGGACACACATGCAAAATTATCAAGAGCATGGAAGGTGGTTGTCTAGTGATATAGACTTGGATGGCTGCGTGGAGGGGACACATGGCACAAAAATGGAACTGCAATACTTTTGGTTTAATTGTACTGAAGGAAGTTTCTTTTCTGCCAGCATAAAGGACAGACAACTTTAAGAGCTGCACGTCTGACTATTCTTACAGCACCTCAGTGGTTTGGGCTACTGGAAGAGTTCAAAAGACTTGTCAATTAGTAGTGATTGCCCTTGAAGCTGACTGATGAGTGACCTAGCCCAAGGACAGAGTGGACTCGCTGTGACTTATGACAAAGGCACTACTCACTGCATCAACTACATTTGGGTTGGTTTCGTTTTTCTTTGATAATTATAGGTTCTTGGTTGCTCTTCTCCTCTAATTAAAGACATTGCACTAATTTTTTAAAAGTGATTGCCACTTGAATTTAGGGCTGTAAAATATACAGCACAGATAAATGCCAGTTGACTGAAGCCCACTCCTACCTCATTACTTACTACTGTGAGTATCCCAGTAGGGTTCTATGGAAGCTCTTCTACTGCATGGGTGAACACAGTTTTGGTATTACAGTTTAATGCAAGATGAAATGTCACAGTTCAATGGAGATCAACCAACATTCAACAGAGAGAGGGTAAAAGCATTGAATTCACCTGAGCAGTAAAAAAAAAAGTATATCTAATTGCTTGAAATAGTTAGTAATGTGTTAATCAAATATACTGGTCACCTTGATAGGCAGATTGCACATCAGCAGTCAGCACATCTTAACACATTTTGTAATATTTTATCAAAGCTGTCTACGTATTTCTCATTTTTCACCTTTGTTGCTGTTGTTTATTTTCCTCGCTGCACAGTAAACCTCTGCATTGATCTTGCTCCTTTGGAGAAAAACAGTAACATAGGTAAGGAGGAAAACCCTTTACTACTGGTTTCAGCAGAGCCGGGATTTTAATTGTAACCCTCTATTTTTGTGGGTTTGTGGTGGGCTTATCTATCTATCTATCTACCTATCATCTAATTATTTAATTATGATTAATTCTTTCATATTTTTCTGTAGCATTTCTCATCCAGGAGTACAGCATCCCACCCACTCCTTACTCTTCCTTCCTAAATAGCATAAGCCTCCTTAAGTAGCTCATAGTACCCAGGGTCTCTATGCCCCAGCACACCTGTTTCTACAGGCAGAAAATTAGTCTTCCTTTGTTTGGCATGTGGGGAGCCTGAGGGTGCCCCTTGAGCCACAGGCACTGCTCATGTAGCAATTCAGCAGCAAGAGCAAGGACTTTTCTGACAGCAGAAAGATCAGACTCTAGGGGTGAGCATTTCTGTCTTTATGAAATGTGTATTCCGGAGAAAATTCCTCTTTCCTGACCTTGGTTTTGAACATTTCCCACACTGTATTTTCCACTGCATGTGTTTAAGACCTTCATCATAGGGAGAGAAAATGACAGTGCAAGAGAAGAAGGTATTTAAAGTGGAATTGCAGCCCTGGGCAAAATTATTTTTGATTTTTTTTTCATTATTATTATTTGCTCATTCATACATTCACTATTGCTGATTTCAGCCAACAGAAGGAAACTGGGCTGGGTTCTGGGGAAGGAAGGACTAGCCCAGGTGCCCCAGGGCTGCAGAGAGCTGAGTCTACTGTTTATATAAACACTTAATTTCTTTTTAAGATGCAAAGTCCTAAATTTAAATTGCCAGTTGGTCTACAATAGTCTAAAGCATTACACTGTTAGACTTTAGACTGCCAGTCTAAAGAACTAACACCCTGTCTTGGAACTGAGGCCTGAGGTAAGACCTTAAACAAAAGGGAAAAAGCATGAAAAAACCCACTGTGGTGACAAGAAAGATTGTGTGAAGATGTTTACAAAAAACAAACCCAACTCATCGAACTTTTATATTTAATTAATTGCTAATTTAGAAACTGGGAGGTCAGTGTTTCCTCCTTTAAGCATTTTTCTCCAGCCATAGAGAATTTGCTTCAACATAAGCTTCATCATTTTGAGCGTATTGTCACTTAATGTTCCCTCACGAGATTTGTGTGGGTGACATTCCTGCACAAACGAGCTCCAAACAGATCTTCCAGCTTGAAAACAGTTTGTCTCTGTTTGTATAGTTGAATTTAACTCTTTCAGTAAAGTCAGTTGTCATTTTCCTAATTAACCTCTAGACTCTTAAATACCTTCGCTTCAAAGGTGACGAACCGACTCTCCCAAAAGTCATTAAACAGAAGAATCACTCCAAGAAATAAAATAGAGAGGCCTCATTTTCTAGTTGAGTCTTATCTACTCCTTTGTGCAGTAATGCTCAAACCTCAAAAGGTTTACCAGCTAAAGACCATCTCAAAGTTATGACCAGACCTCACAAAGAATTAATAATAATAATAATAGCAGTAGTGGTAGTAAGACTTAAGGTAGATGTTGAATCTCCATGTAGTGAACAGTCCATCAGATTATTTGCAAACTCTCTGTTGTGTGACTCCTCCAGTTTCACGTAGCAGATTTTGGTCCCGCTGTTCCAAGTTTCTTTCAGTGAATGAAGTGATCTGTCACTGGGTTTTATTAGATTTTTTTTTTTTAGAGCAGATGGCTGATTCTTTTTACCTGGAGAGCTGCCACTTTCTTTAGATACATCTCAGCTTTTATGGTAGTCTAATTTACCTGTTTATTTGAGAAATAAGTAACTTAAATTACAACAGGGTTATAATTTCACTGACCTCAGAAAAAGGTGATGGGTTTGCTACATAAATTTCCTGCATTTCGCTGGAAAAAAAACAGAAATGGAAAAGAATTTCATCCTCTGGTAGCTGGACTGCTAGGCATGAAAAAGTAAGTCCAGGTCTTCATTCAGTTCTGGCATCCGTGATCATAGAATCATAGCATGGTTTGGATTGCAAGGGACCTTAAAGTTCATCTAGTTTCAATTCCTTTGCCATGGCCAGGGACAACTTCCACTAGACCAGGTTGCTCAAAGCCTCATCCAGACTGGCCTTTAATAGCGTTTCCTAGCCAGTTGCTGGATATTCCATTTTACATTTCGGCTTGCAGATTTACATGAGAAATAAACTTGCTCTGTGGAGCCATTCACCTGAATTTATGTCTAGATTTCTTATTTCTGCAGGTTGCCTTCCATCAGCTTGTACTCTGAGCTGGAATTACCCCTTGTTTGT